AAATCACGGAAAGTTTTACCTGATTCACTGTTTTTGATTGCAATAGAGAGGAAGCAAACCAGCAGATACAGCAACCCCCCTTCTCGGTCGCAGCCTGTCTCATTTCCTCATGGATCCCAGGGTGCAACCCTTGACTGGGTAGCTGAAGATGGTACGCCTGGTTTCCTATCAGCTGTTGTTCATTGCTTCCTGAGTGAGTGTGGGGAGCAACCCGGACTAGACTAAGTTACTGGAATTAAGACTTATTCTATGCATCTGCTCTCCCACAATATGGCGCTGGGAGAGGAGGAAACAGTTTCTACACAGCTGCCTCCAGTTCAGCCAATAAACTGTAGGACTTGCTCCTGATTGGAGGAGAGCAGCGTACTCGGCGTGTGGGTAGCAGAGTTGGGATTGGCGGAGGAGGACTATAAAGGAGGAGAGAGACGGCATGCACCAGGAACATCTAAGGGGAACATCTAAGGGGAACACCTGTGCAGCCCCCGAGAGAGCCGGCCGGCGGTGTGCCGCTCCCCTGCGGAAGTGGGGAAAGTGGCCAGGGGGAACCGCCCTTCCACGGAGGTGGAAGGGACAGTAGCCAACCCGGGAAGAACCAGCAGCAAACCCGGGGAGGGCCGAGCAGACAAAAGAACAGCGCAGGGTCCTGTGTCGTTCCTCCACGAAGAGGGGGAGCGACAAGTGAGGGCTCATATTTCTTTTCTAAGATTTCTTTTTTAAAGACTTAATTTATTTTTTAAATTTTATTTAAGTTATACAAGTTTCAGGTATTTTATATATACAGAATTAGGAACACAGGGAGGTTAGGGTAGGAAGTATCATTATGTTTCTGAACAATTTATTTGAAATGTAGAGTTACAGAGAGAGATAGAGATATCCTCCATCTGCTGGTTCACTCCTGAAATGCCTGCAATGGCCAGGACTGAGCCAAGCAGAAGCCAGGTCCCAGGAACTTCATCCAGGTCTGCCACATGGGTGTCAGGGGCCCAAGAGCTTAAACCTTCTGCTGTTTTCCCATGTGTATTAGCAGGGATCTGGATAGGAAGTGGGGCAGCCAAGACTTAAAGTGGCACCCTTTGGGATGCTGGAGTCACAGGCGATGACTTAAGCCACTATACTAGAACACCAGTCCCTGAATGTTCATATTTGTTAGTGATATTTTGTGTTTAGTCAAAACCCCAGTCAAGGTAACCATGAAATAAAGAGGTTATTTTGATTTGGAGATGGAAGAAAACTTGGTACCAAGTTGATTCTTAATTTATTCTCAAGGGGAAGTGAAAACTTCTTGATGCTTAGCATCATGAAAGAGACAGATGCCACCTTCTTGCTGATGTGTTTTGAGATCCATACTAAATGTAAAACATGATTTAAATGACAGTCTCATCCATGAGAGGCAGCTCACTCTCATCACAGGTAGAATTACAATGTGTAGTTGCACACCCTGGGAGGCAGCAAGTGATGGCTCAAGTACTTGGCTCCTTGCCACCCACATGGGAGAACTGGATTGAATTCTGAGATACTGGATTTGGCCTGACCCATCTTAGGCTGTTGTGGGGTGCAGTAGATGGAAATCCTCTCTCTCTCTCTCTCTCTCTCTCTCATTCCCTTTCTGTATCTTTCAAATAAATAAGGAAAAAAGATTTTAAAAGATTTATTTTGTTACAAATATGTTTGTAGTTTTCTCATAGTAGGCATTTTCATGAACATTTTCATGACATCATATATGTATACATATGAATGATAACAACAGAATAACACTCACAAACCCCTTAATACTTCTAAGTAGTATGTTCAGACTCCTGTGCTAAGGACTCTTCATGTAGAAAAAATCTACATGACAACTAAGGAAGAGATACAACTAAGCCAGTGGACCACATCCCTAAGATGACACAGGCAGGAAGTGGGGACTGTAGCTGGGGCAATCTGGCTCTGGGATCCACCTTATCAGCTCGTGCCACATTGCCATTCCACGGCCCCTTCTCTCTGCTGAATGCTCACCGTGTGCCAGGTTCTGCTAAGCAACACTGTTAACATCTCTGCAATGTGCTACTTGGGACTGATAAATTCAGACAGATGCTCTGGGTTGAGTTTTCACTTTGTTTTCTACTTCCTCCTACAGAGAATGAGAAATTTCATATACAATTCCAGATTTATGATTATTCTTGATTAAGACAACAGCAAGATCCAGCCACAATGAGTCTCCAGCTCACAGCTCAACACCAAGTGGCAGAACCTATCTCGCAGGCATGGCCTCAGCCTCTCCTTTCCCCTTGTTCCTCCTACCTCTACTGTCCACATTGGACCTAGGTTTTTTTTTTTAATCACCTGTCTAATCACTGTGCATATTTGAGTGTATAAGTTTATCTCTATAACAAAAAAAGGTTAAAAAATAACTGTAGAGCTTAAAGTTTGGATTACATAGCCCAGGTTTAAAGTCCTAGTCCACATTCATAAGATCTTGTTTCTTGGAAAAGTGTCTTTAATGTCTTTAAGCCTCACTTTTCTCCAATCTAAAGTTGGGTTGCTAATAGGACTTAATTTAGGAGTTTTGTTATAAAGTAATGAAATGAGATAAAGTATAAAAAGAAGGTAGCTTGCAGTTCAGTACTATTTATTGTTGCTATACCATAAAGAAGCCCAACAAGTCAGTGTAAGTATATCCTATCCAGCACCTGATCTACCACCAATCAGGGCTCAAGTACAAATCCAGTAAGAAGGCTAGGATTGCATCGGAAAAGGTAGAGGAAATGAATAGATTAGGGAAAAAAAAACACTTCTATGATACTTAGAGCAGCATGTGTGCTATGCAGCAGCTCTGCACAATCACATCCAAGTTGAGTCCACTGCAGGGGCCAGCGTGGTGGTGCAGCAGGTTAAGCTCTGCAAATAATGCCAGCATCCCATATCAGAGTGCAAATATGAGTCCTTGCTACTCCACTTCCAACTCAGCTTCCAAGGGCTTGGGTCCCTTCCCATGAGGGAGACATGTATGGAGTTTTGGTCTGGACCAGCCCCAAACTTTGTGGCCATTTGGGGAGTGCACTGTCAGATGGAAGACTTCTCTTCCTTTCCCTCTGCCCTTCTCCCTCCCCCTCTTCTTCTTCCTCCACCTTTCTGTTATTCTGCCTTTCAAATAATAAATCTTTTAAAGTAAACAAAACAAAACCCACTGCAATTGGTCAGGATCAACCTGGGTACTGGTTTGGCTTCACATGTCCTGTAAGAAAACATCTGGTGGTCTATTTTTAACACAGTATGGAAAATTACTATTAGTTGACCTGCAGGCATAGCAAAACTCCCTGGGCAGACAGGATGCTAGGGAGCAGGCAACATGCAAGAGGGAATTAAGGCACAGAGAATGTAGGATGAAGGCAACTTTGTAACATGGGTGACATCTGGAAGACTGTATACCCCACAGTACTCAGCCATGGAGGAATTGGAGAGTGACTTGCGTGCCAGGATTTAACTCACTTGCTGTAACTGCTACGGTGTGCCAGCCCATCAGTTACCTGATCTTGCAAGACCATTAATAAATTCTCACTTTCACTATACTCCCTGATCCCAGGTCCATCTCTTGAGTGGACAAGAGCGGGTATTTCCCACAAGTGGGCTACCTAAAGAGCTGGCATGTTGTATCCTAGGGAAATACTGACTCACACCTTTTAGTAGTGTTGCCATTTCATTGGGTGGCAGGCAGTGGAGCCCCGAACTCCCTTTTACTAGGTGGATCTCCTGAGTCCTTTCACAATGCCCTAGGTTCTCATTCTCCAAGCCATCAGCTCCTCACTTGTGTGCCAAACAAAATGCTTCTTCGTTACCCCCTTGGCCTTAAGGCTGTCACCAGCTTCAATCCAAAGGATGCATCATTCCAATGCTACCCATCATGGTACCTGGGTACTTACCTACACCTGAGCACTTGCCTGTCCCATCCCATTGTCATCTACACCTTCTTGGTGTGCTCAGAGCGCTGTGTTGACCCAGTGCCCTGCATCACCTACCTACTGCTGCATCTACCTCACGTTCTGCAGGGTCACTGCATAGAGTTGTGCATTCACTGCCTCATGCTTTATGTTGGGTGTCAGAGACCCTCTTCTCTAAGGAGCCAGAGCTTCAATGTTTCAGGCTGTGTAGCCATTCAGTCTTTAGCACAATTACTCACTTTGCCCCCACCATACAGATGCAATCAGAAGCAACAGAAGTGAGCTGGGTTGGGTTCTGATAAGAAGAATGGGATGGGAGACGGAGTGGGAGATGGGATGGTTGTGGGTGGGAGGGAGGTTATGGGGGGAAAAGCTGCTATAATTCAAAAGTTGTACTTTGAAAATTTATATCTATTAAATAAAAGTTAAAAAAAGACTATATTCACAGACACTGGAATCCAAATTTCACATGAGGTTCATGGGTCCTGCGATATTACCCATCGTTCACTTTCTCCTAACTGTTCCAAAACAGAGGTGCTCTTGGCTGGCAGGCAGCAGAAAACCAAGCAGCAGACTCCACTCCTGCTCCATGTGCATCCTGTCAGTGGGACCACAACCCACCTTTTCACTTCTTTTATTGAGGAGCAACACATTCGCAACCTTGAGTGCACCAATCTTCAACAGTCCGGTGGAGTTTGATGTACACACATACATAACCATGCCAACATTTCACAGATCATAATGTGAAATATTCCCAACAGCTTAGTAGGTTCCTTCTCATTCTCTTCTAAATGTCACCCTAGCAACACCCAATCTCCTTTTGCTACAGAAGCAGTCCCCATGCCTCTTTTCAATAGGACTGAATTGAAGTAACAAAGATGGCGTGGCACCTCCTAAACTCTTACAGAGTAGAAAGAAATCTAGAAGACAACGGCATAATAGAAATAAAGCTTCAGGCATCAGTGCCCATCACTGTCTTCTGTTTCCAGTTATGAGCGACGCATGATCAGAAACACAGAGAGGCTACTCTGGTAGCATGCACTCCTTTTGCTTTGCTGTCTCACGCTGACACCCTTTTCTTACCTGGGCCAAGGTGAGGGTCGCTTGTCTGCAGGTGCCACATTGAACTCTGAGTTTTCCTGGCTGCACTCTTTGACAGGGGCCCTTGCAGTAAACATAGAAGCTGTTGTAGGTTGGTCTACCTGGTGGGAGGAAAAGCAGAAACACAGCCAATCAACTCTGAGTCCAGAGATGAGAAACTCTCTTCAAAAGTTTGTTAGAGGCAAATTTCAGAACTCACTCCTCAGGAACATTTTGAAACATTAGTAGAATAAATGTTCCAATGAGAATACAAGAATTCAATTCAGACAATCTAGTTTTATACTCAAAAAGTAGAAAATCCTTTCTGTTTCATGCCAGCAACCCTGTGCCTTACTCAGCAAAGTAATCAACCTGCCACCAAGAGAGCTGGCCAAGTGCATTTGCAACACAGCAAAGTTAAATGCACTTTATGCTGTTAAAAAAGAATGGAAAACTGAGAGACCACTGCTCCCAAAGTTTGTGTTATGGCTCCGTACAGAGCTGTGAAGGCTCCAGACTCCCCTTCTTAATATCTTATCCATGGAGACAAACCAGCCCACTTCTCACCATCAAGTGATAAGTTCACCATTTGCTGGGTTTCCAGGGAAAGCTTCTCAACACACAGGTATAGGATAAGACAAGAGACCTGAGCCCTGGCAGCTTAACAGACCCAGCAGCCACGTGCAGATGTGTATTTTTTTATTTCATTAATATTCTCTCTCATCACCAAGAATTCATTTAAAAATACATGTTCAAGAGTAAAACCTGAATGACAACAATGAAAACAATTCCATAACCACTTCCAATCATGTTCGCAAATGCCACCACACAGGGATAGGGTTCCTCTGTGTACCGGGGGAGATTTTCTTCAATGGTCTTCATGTCTACAGAGAACTAACTTTACCCAGAAGCACCATCTTTCTAAATGTCCCAGTTTCTAAAACTACTGAATAGTTCCTTCATTTACTACTTACTTTGTTGGTGTTGAGTTACAGCATAAAAGTTTTTTTTTTTTAATTTTACTATTACCATCGAAGCATCTAGAAATAATATATAACATTTTTAACATTATGAATGAAAATCTTAAGCTTCCAAAATGCTTATTATCTATTTAAAATAATTAATACACAAATAATGAGAAAACAATAAGGAATTCTGAAGTCTTAGGTAGCTCCGTTTGTTTCACTAATGCATAAAAGCAGCCTCTGTGGAGGAGGGCTTTGTGGCACAGTGGATGAAGCCACCACTTGGATTGCACACATTTCATACTGGAGTGCCTGGGTTCATGGCCTGCCTATGCTTCCAACTCAGCTTCCTGCTAATAAGCAGCCTGGAAGGCAAGAGGTGATGGTTAAGAACTTGGGTCCCGCACACAAGTAAGGGATCTGGATGGAGTGCCTGGCTTCTGGCTTCAGCCTGACCCAGCCGTGGCTACTGTAGGCATTTAGGGAATGAACCAGTAGATGGAACATCTCTCTCTCTCTGTCAGCCCCCCATCTCTCTCTCTCTCTCTCTCTCTCTCTCTCTCTCTGTTGTTCTGCCTTTCAAATAAATAAAATGTTTCAAAAAAGGGTCCTTGTAAACACACTGTATTGTCATTTGTTTAGTCACCTTTACCAATATTACAGGTGACAATACTTTGTATATAATGTGAAATATAATAAATATATCGTTCAGTAATTCTATCATGTAGTTGCAGTAGATTTTTACAGTTGTTATTCTCCAGAGATTAACACTGAGCTTCCAGTGCAAAGGGGGAGATCAGATATAAATGTACGTTTGCATTGATGACGAACCTCTCCCTCTCACATCTCTGCAGTTTTAATGCTTTAACGAATAAGATATTTGAGTCTATGAAAATCACATCATTAGCCAATAATTGCATAAAACATATTCTGAAGTGCTTGCATCCATCATAAATGTAACACAGAACCATGTATTACCATCATAGAAGTATTTGCACCATAGAAACTCACAGGATATCCAGACCACAAGAACTGTGACAATTTTAGTGTGTTCTAAGAAAGAGCTTCATGAGGGAGGCATGGGCCCTTCCTGTAACACCTTTGCTAGCAATAGCAACAAATCTTACTTCACAACTTTTTTTAACCTACTGTAGATTAACCAATAAAAAAAAGCAAGAAAAGGACCAGGGAAAACAAAGCTTTCAAAAGAGGTGTCGGGGTGGCAAAGCCACCAGCATTGCTGCAAGAGCAAATGAGTGAGTGTCACGATATTAAAAGCAGTGCCTCAGAATAGCAGGAGACTCAAGGACTCTGCTCTCTCCCTTGGGGAAACACTGTTTCAGCGAGTGCTCTATGTGAAGGCCGGGAAACCCTGCCGCCTGTGCAGGCCACAACCTTCACCGAAGTCCTTGAGAAGTTGCTCAGAAAATACTGCAAGCCAATGTCTGTGCCCCAGAAGCATAAAGATGACATGCAATCTATTACACGTTGCTTCCCAGAGCCAGCTCAAGTTGGGGATTAATAGCCAGTCTAAGGAAGATCAAGGTCAGGCCAGTCCTGGCTGCGGCACATTGCAAGCTGTTGGTTTCACTCGACCAAGCAGCTGGGCTGCGGGTAAACCTTGAGCACTCCCTTTCGGGTGCCTTCCCCTCCTGTTTGGCTACACAACACAATTTAACTTTGGCAAGCTTCTCTGTGTCACGCTGCGGCCTGCAGAGTACTGGATAGAAATACGAACAAATAACCCCCTGACAGTTTTCTGGGCAATGTTCCTGCTGGCCTGGCCAGAGGGCCTAAGGCAGGAACTCTTGCATATGGGGTCATAACTCCTAAAGGAACGGCAAGGTGGTTGGATGAGTGACCTGAAAAGCCTAGAAGGGTATATGGCTGCCCCTGGTCAATAACATGAATCTCCCTTTCATTTTTTGGGGGGGCCTTAAAATCCCTTTTCTTTCCTAATTCACTTTTCTGTTTGGTAGTTCCCTTCTTTAACCTATATAGTCAGAATAGCTTATATTTGTGTTTATAAGAGTTCCTTCTTTTTATCAAATAAGTTCCAAGCTTAGAAAAATATTTGTAAAATTATAAAACAATCCCATTATTCATTGTGACCCATCAATTGTGAGTACTTTGCCACATTTGGGTGGACTCTCTGTGTGAGCCTTTGTGCATAAATACAGATATACACTTTACCAGGCTGCAGCATCTGGAATTAAGTTGCAGACCTCACTCTTTCAACACCCTAAAAACAAGCACTTCTTTTCATATTAAACCACAGAGATGTTTAAGTCAGTTGGTTATTTCAGTAGTTCTACTCATAGACGTACCAAGTGCACATTGAGCATATTACACAGAGCAATTACAGTGGTTTGCAATATGTTAAGAGGGGTCAAGCCCTAATAGTGGGCTCACTGGTCAAACCAGTCTCTGAAATGCTCCTAGAGAGCCTGCTCATGATTAATAAATTCTTCCAAGTCCTCCAAGTCATGAACAAGCTCCCATAACCATCCTATCCATGCCAGGAAAGTTAATCTGCTCATGCGATGCTTTTCACCAGTAAGAGACACTAAACTCACTCGGCAGTTCATTCTTCTTATGCAAAGAAGTTAAAAGCACAGTCAGTTCAGGGCCCTTCACAAGGGTGAGCCACCCAGGGGCCGTCCACGGGGTCCCCACCTTTCCTTCACATTTTAGTCCCATCATCTTGAGTTTGGCTCATCCACTCTGCCTTGTTAATAAGCCCAGGCTCAATGCTCCTCTCTCCCCTTTTCTTTTCTTTTTCTAAAGAATCACTGAAAGCATGAACATGCCCAGTGTACCAAGTACAGGGCATTAAAAAAGAATATCTGTTATTTGCTTTGGTTTTTCTCTTTTTGAAAAGCCAGCATAATCATCGAAGTTATCATTTTTCTTTTATGTATTTTAGATAATGGGCTGAAGGCCTGGAGACACTGTTTTGATAAGACATATGGATACTTAGGAAAAGCCATTCTGGATCCTAATGAAACTTTTCATTAACCTCTGAAGTTCCCATCACTGACTGTCGCAGAGCATCAAGGATTTAATTGCCTGCGTGATTAGTCTCCTAGGGAGGGAGAGGATGAAATTTAACATACTTTATACCTAGACAAAATAGTGTTCAGAATGGATGGGTTATAAAAGAGTAGGACAGCAAGGGCACAACTGATTTAGAATGATACGTGCCACATATGAACATAGTGAAACAGTGCAACAAGGCTGTCTGAGAGAGCTTTCTCTACGGGTGGACGTCTGTGCCATCGGCACTACCCTGCACACATGTGTATTACATGTCACCATTAGCCACATGTGGCTGTGGAGAGCTTGAAACCAGACGAGGAATGACTCTTCCCTTCATTAACTTTGAGGAACTTATGTTTAAATAGCTGCATGTGGGCAGCACAGAAGAGAATGAAGAAGCAGGCTCGGGCTGCCCCTCCCTCCTTTCCTCTACAGGCGTGCAGACAACAAGCAACGCTAGGGAAACCCTTCTGGCATCCTGAGAAGCATGACAGCTTGTGCTTAACTGTGCTGATATAAAAGCCAGCGTTAGTAAAAGAGGGAGGTCTGAAATTGAGGCTCTACAGTTGGGTCAGGTGAGTGGCGATGGGGAGTGTTGAGGACAGCACGGCTGTTGTGCTGCTGTGTGCCCATTCCCCACCCCAAGGGTGTCTGTTCCCCACACATGCATGGGCCACACTCGGGCCATCTTCACTTCCACCTGCAACTTTGAAATCCAACCCATACTTTCAAGGTCTAGTTGGCATGACACTACTTCCTGTAAGAATTCCCCGTAAAGATAGGCCATTTTCCTAAACAGCAATATGTAGGAGTAGGAGAGGAACCAGTGTGGTCTTATCACCTTCCAACAGTTTAACCATCCCAGTACCACAGAATGGGCACTAGGGAAGACGTCCCTAGTGTGAAGCATCCTTCACAGCCTTTGCCAATCCTCCCATGTTGCCTAGGGATGCTCTTAGTAGTTCCAGTTCCTTCCCTCTTGCCTAGATTTGTCCTTGTTTCTTAATATCAAGGATGGCACTTCTGTATGTGCCATTAATTCCACTATCACCCTCAACTTATCCCCTCTCCTGGCCACTTAGTAACCTGAGTCGTGGCCATCACCTACAAACCTGTGC